TGCTCTTGTATCTTGCTTGAGGAGACCAAATCGCTGCCACCTTTGCCAGACGTATCCCAGCAAAGGGCTGGGCCACATGCTTTTGTGTCTTGGAATATGAGTATCCTGCTGAACTGGAACATGAATGGTCAAACCCAATCACCAGACCTGTCGTTTGCCATATAAGGTGGACAAATCTGTCTGGGATGATGCACTCTTGGAACATTGGCTGCGCTTAGATTTTCAAGCGTTCAAACACTCGACCTTGATGTGTGGTATAGTTTCATAGTATGCTGAGATGTTCTGCCCAGCTGCAGGTAGAGTTCATGATTTTGCTGGAGAACGAGGTGAAGCTTGGCCACTTCCAACCTCGGCCAAATGTGCCGCTTCGGTGTGCGCCGATGGGTGGGAGTGAAGTGTCCATCTATTTTGATTTGATCAAAGAGCCATCCTGCAACAAGCGCAGGAGGGGCAATTAGATTTCCCATGATTTAGTTTGCTGTAGGAGGGTCCTGCCATTGGATGAGACAACGCATGCATCCACTAGTTGTAAGGATTGTCCCCTTTGTGGCAGGATTCAGCCTAGAAAATTCATAATGATGCTGTGTGGTGATCGCCGCATGCATTCTGGGGAAAAACATGCCATTGTTCCATGTACGTACATGTTGTTTGCATGAAAACTGACAAAACCACACCCTGTTCAGAACTCATTGGGATTATGTTCATGGGGTTCAAGGGTTGCTACTGTGGTGCCGCATATTCCACGACCAGCGTCCAGGACTGGGTTGTCACTTTGTCAAAAACAATGAAGAACAGGAACCGTTATGGAACCGTTAAAAAACCTTTGGAACCGTTAAAAAAAGGCCTTGGAACCGTTAAAAATCTACTGGAACCGCTATCCAAGATTTTCAGGAAAGGGCTGGTGGGTGTTGCAACGTATACAGCGTCGTGCAGTTCTGTTCAGCCCATATTGTTCATGCCATGTGCAGGATGCCGCGGCCAAAGAAGCCTGTTGTGCCTTCGCCGCCTATGGACTCCTCTGTCGTTCAGGGGTTCTTGGCAAAAGCTCGGTCAATGGTTGCATCAGTTGGTGAAAAGCGCAAGTCACAGGATGGTGATTCTGCCAGCTCGCCACCTGCTACCAAACCAAAGGGGTCCTCACCAGTTCCAAGCAAGCCTGCAGCATCAGTGAAGGCTGCCCATCCCCCTCCAAGCAAGGCTGGAGGGCCATTGCCAGTAGGAAAACCGTGCCCCCCACCTCCACCCCCACCATCTACCAGGGTTAGGGGAAAGAGTCCTGATGACCGCAGTATGCTTCCTCTCACCAAGCCGAAGGCACTCGCTTTGACCGCTGTTCCACTCAAGCCAAAGTCGCCATCCCAATCACCCAACGCGTCTCCCTGCTCTACGTCATCATCGTTGTCTACTACTGCGTCTTCCGCTTTTCAACGAACCCAGCAAGCACTGCTGGAAGCAAAGGCAGCCCGGTTAGCTAAGGAAGCAGCTGCTTGTGAGGCTGTGCATGTGGAGACTGCGGGGCCTGTCCTAGGTGATCCGAAGCCTGCTCAGGATGGTGATGGTGGTGAACATGTTGGGGAGAAGGTTGAGCATGTGGAGGCTGTGCAGCTTGTGGAGCCTGCTCGGGGTGATGATGGGCATGATGAAAAGCCTGTTGTGGAGCCTGTCGGGCCTGCTCGGGGTGGTGATGGGCATGATGAAAAGCCTGTGGGGGAGGTTGTGGAG